GTATCGTAAAGTTGTTTTTGGAAAGAATAAACCAGTTTTATTTAAGAAAGAATAAACCAGTTTTATTTAAGAAAGGACTTGTGTCGCTAAAGTTTCGTCGGAACGAATTTACGGAAAATTAACTACGGAGACGTAACAATATTGTCAAGTTACATGAGGGCGGCAATAAATAACTTGCCTAGTAACAGTTTATTTAATAACTTAAATACACTCTTGTTATATATATTTATTTTAAGCGTAATTTTATTATTTTAATTTATCAAGTAAGCATGTTTCTTACATTATATACTGTTTACCATGTAAAAGCTTTACAATTAATGAGATTTTGGCGTTTGTTTTTCACACGTGTGTTATAATTTATAAACACTTTATAAAAAGAAAAACTACCCATTCTCCATACACTAAACTAAAGTCAATAACATTTCGTGTAATTGATACATTATGTACTTAAAATTAATACTTACATGTGAAGGTCTTGTCACATCCCTTAGTCAATATGTTGCTGTATTCAATTGCCGAACAGCGAGGAAATTTGATCACAAAGACTTCGTAATAACAGTAATATAATCATTGTAATGGGCTAATACGAGTGTACGAGTGTAGGAAGATGGCAGTCTTACAGTGAGTTCACCATCTTCCATAGGCTGTTAGTGTCATGCGCTATCCATATTATAGAAATCGGTGACTAAAACACGCCAAGGCCTAATTAGCAACAATTTATAGCTTAAAATACCCTGAAAATGTGCTTTTAAACTTAAAAGATGAAAAATATAGAAATTTGAGACAATTTTATCACTCATGAGAGTTAGTAAACAATCGGTCTTTCCTGCCGACTTGACAGTTCGTTTGATTGTATTAATATTATATTCTAAAGTGTTAAAATTTTGTAGTTTGATTTTTTTTAAATGTTATCGATTCGTTGCATTATTTGAGCATCGCCTTCTATCACGAAACCTTTGTGTGTGTGTGTGTGAATGTTTTGTCATCACTTGCAAGTGCATCTTGATTAGAATTTCGACTTATGTATATTTTGATCATTTGATATTACGTTCAAATCTACATCTTGATAAAGTGGTATACTAGAGTTGACCATGTGAAAAAACATTGGTTCTGAAAGAAATATTCCTAAATAATCAAATGTTTAACCCTGCAATTTATAATTGTGATGACAAAGGATCGAGGGGTCAATGGCAAATCCATAAAGGTGTAGCATTTCGTAAAAATTGTTATAAAATGTTTTCCTAAATTTTTAAAAACTTTTACGGAAGGTAAAAAACACCGAGAATAACATATTATTTTAAAAAATGTAAGGTTGTATAAATTGTTTTTATTATCACATCAATTTAATTTTTTATCCCCCCCCCCCAATTAACACCATATCTTGGCCCCTACTGCATTACAGTAGGCCCAAATAGCCAATCTAATTATAAAACATTTCAAGGGGTGCATGCTCCCAATGTTTTCTTTTATTATCCAAATTCTTTAGTAATTCTAAGAGTTAATTAGCATCATACATATAAACACCAGTTTATGTCTGTGTGAACGCAACTTAAATATCTTCACAATCCAATAGATGGCGCTACAAGTTTTTAAAACTTAAGTATTTTTCTTCCAAGTTTAGGTTGACAAAAAAAAATTGTTTAAACATATTTTTTAACACTTATTATGAACAGTGCATTTTACTATCACAAACATTTTATAACAAGTCATATGCTATTAAAATATTCTACCTATTTTCAACACAATGATGATCTAACTTTTCATATTATGCAAAATCTTCAAGTTGTCAG